CAGCAGCAGCAAATCCATTGTCTTTGAGGTATTGAATTGCTTCCTGCGGCGCATGCATGCATTGCAGCAGCAGCAGCAGCAGAAGCAAATATCCCGCTGTAATCAGGGTTTGGAGTCTAGGGTTTAGGGTCTAGGGTTTAGGGTTTAGGGTTTACGCGGGCAGTAGCGACGTCCTTGACGACAAGAGCATTCGTCCATCTCCCTAGTGCTGCAGCAACAGCAGCAGCAAACCTTTTGTGTGTTGGGCGGCAGCAGCAAAATACATAATTATATATACCCTCTTTCATATTTCCTTGTTTCATTAGCTCCTGCAGCAGCAGCTGCTGCTGCTGCTGCTGCTGTGTCTCCCGCTGCAGACCCCGCACCAAAGACAGCTGCTGCTGCAGCTCCGCTTGAAGCTGCAGCAGCTCCTCACGCCGGCTTGAACTCGCCTGCACACACAAACCACCCAAACCCTAAACCCTAAACCCTAAACCCTAAACCCTGTGTGTGGCCAACAGCCAAGCGAACCTCAACTGAAAAAGCACAAAGAGAGAGGAGGTATTTAGCGCGAGGGTTTAGGGAGGGTCAAACGAATTAGGGTTTTCATTACGGGGGGTTTAGGCGGTGGCTCAGGATTAGGGTTTAGGGTTTAGGGTTTGCGTCTAGGGTTTAAGGCATAGGGTAGCTAGGGTGTATAGTATGAGACTAGGGTTTAAAATTTAGGGTTTGCGTCTAGGTTCTAGTGTTTAGGGTTTACAGTTTGTTTAGGGTTTGCGTCTAGGGTTTAGGGTTTAGGGTTTGTGTCTGGGGTTTAGGGTTTAGGGTTTAGGGTTTAGGGTTTGGTACATTTGCAGTTTCTGTCGCTTCCTTTAGAGACGCCTTCACGTTTGCTGCGTCCGCTAGCAGCTGCTGCAGTGTCTCCGCAGCTGCTGTTTGTTTTTGTTTTGCTTCCTCCTGCATGCACACGCCTAAACCCTAAACCCTAAACCCTAAACCCTAAACTCTAAGCCCCTAACCACCCACGCACACAAACACACACACACCAAACGAAAGCCAAAGACAAACTCTCTAAACCCCAAACCCTAAACCCTAAACCCTAAACCCTCAGGGAGGGTTTGCTGCTACGCACCGCCAATTCGCGCAGACAGCCGATGCGGCGCTCTAGCTCAAGGCATTCTCTCTCCGACTGCATGCACAGCAAAACCACAAGCAGCAGCAGCAGCAACAGCAGCAGCAGCAGCAACAGCAGCAGCAGCAGCATGAGTTCATTTTAGCATCAATTAGCCTCTCGTTGCCACGGGGCATTGCTGACGCAGAAAGATATTCCTCTGCTGCTGCTGCTCCTCTCGTTGCTGCTTTTGTGTCTGCTTTTGCTGCTGCTTTTGCTGCAGCTGCTGCAGCAGCAGCAGCAGCTCGAAGGGGTACTGACAATGTCTAATGCGCTTGTAGCTTGCTGCAGCAGCGGCTGCTTCCTTGTCATTTGCTGCTTCAGTTCCGTCAATCTGCTGTCGGCTTGCTGCTGCAGCAGCAGCAGCTGCTGCTGCTGCTCTTTGGATAGCTTCTGCTGCAGCAGGAGTTCTCTCTTTTCAGCAGCATCTTTTATTTGCTGCTGCTCATCACAGAGGCGAATCACCGCGGAGGATAGCTGTACATACACCGCAAATATATAGGGTTTAGGGTTTAGGGTTTAGGTTTTCTGCGGTGCAGGTGCATGCAATTTATTAGGGTTTAGGGTTTAGGTTTTATTTACTTCTGTTTCTAGAGCCTTCAACGAGCGGCATTCCTCTTGCTTCTGCTGCAGCTTCTGCTGCTGCTGCTGCTGCTGCTGCTCAGCAAACCGCAGCCGCTCCAGACACTCCGCCAGCCCGTTGCGCTGCAGAGACACGAAACGAGGGTTTAGGGTTTAGGATCTAGGGTTTAGGGCTGAGGGGTTGGTATCTAGGGTTTAGGGTTTAGAGTTTAGCGATTAGGATCTAGGGTTTGGGGTTTAGGGTTTAGTGTTTAGAGCCTAGGGTTTAGGGTTTAGGGTTTAGGGTTTACGAGCATGTTTGTTTTCATTGCGCTTTTTTCTGCTAGTGTTTTTTTCTGCTCGAGTTGAAGGGAGAGGGAAATTCGTTGTCTATCTGCTGCTTCTGCTTGCTGCAGTTGCTGCTGCAGCTGCTGCAGCAGCAAGTCAGCGCGCTGTGTCTCCTTCTCGGTCTGCTGCTGCTGCTGCTGCTGCCGGCATTCAGCAGCAAACAGCTGAAACACAAAACCCTGAACTTGTAGGGTTTGCTGCAGTACACAAACCAAAGAAAGAAACACAACTAAACCCTAAACCCTAAACCCTCAATCTGTGTCCATGCACATACACGTAAACAGAAACCCTAAACCCTAAACATACACAAATAGAGACAAACACCCAGGTAGACGAGACAGACACCCCTGTACCGGCAAACCCTAAACCCTAAACCCTAAACCCTAAACCCTTATAAGTTGCTGCTCGGTTACTAAACCCTAAACCATAAACCCTAAACCCTCACATGTTGCTGCTGCATCTCTTTAAAGGTTTTAACTTCGCGCTGCTGCGCCCGCAGCACACGCAGGGATGCCAGCAGCTGCTGTTTGCTGCTGAATGTCTGACGAGCTTCTGCATGCAGTGCTGCTGCTGCTGCTGCTGCTGCAGCGAACTGTTGCGCCCACTCTTCACTGCAGCGCAGCACAGCAGCAGAAGCAGCAGCAACAACAGCAACAACAAAAGAAGCAGCAGATGTGTAAACCCTCAGACCCAGGCCTTGCAGTCTCCCCCGTGCTGTATGATATAAACCCTAAACCCTAAACCCTAAACCCTCACCTGCTGCCAACGCGCTCTATAAGGCGGGTGAGCTCTAGCGGCGATCGAGCGGCGGCTGTCACAGACGAATCCCCCTGAAGCCGCAGCACACAGCAGCAGCAGCAGCAGCAGCAGCAGCAGCAGCAGCAGCAGATCAGCAGCAGGAAGCGGAGCAGGGCATATGCAGAGAGAATGACATGAGCAGCAAGAAAGAAGAGACAGAGACGAAGACCCCAAGAAGCAAAAAAAAGCAGAAACAGAAGCAAGCGGTATGCAACGCAGCAGCAGCAACAGCAGCAGCAGGAAGCAGCAGCAGCAACGCCAGAACAGCAGCAGCAAGAAGCAGCAACAGCAGCAGCAAACAGCATGAATTGTACCTGCAGCAGCAAAGAAGCAGCCATCGTGTGGGGCGCCAAAGACAGCTTATCTCTGAGCACTCGCATATATTCTTCTGCTGTTACTCGCTTTCCATCTACGGTGTATGTACAGCTGCTGCTGCTGCTGCTGCTGATCTGCCGCCGCAGCAGCAACGCATCTCCCTCAGCACCAGCAGCAACACGACGACGAAAGTGTAGAGACACCGCAGTGCTGCAAACACAAAAGCACAGCACACAGATAGCAACGCATGCGCATGCAGCAACAACAGCCATAATAACAACAGCAGCAACAGCAGCAGCAGCAGCAGCAACAAAAACAGCACTAACAGCAGCAGCAGCAAAAACACCAACCACAGCACCACCACCGCCACCAACAACAGCAGCACCACCAAAAACAACAAAACCAACGACAGCAGCACGACAATCACCAACAGCAGCACCAGCAGCAGCAGCAACAGCAGCAGCAGCAGCAGCAGCAGCAGCAGCATTGGGGCTTACAGGGGTCTGTGCTCTTCTTCTGCTGCTGCATGCCGCAGATCTGTGAGGGCATTCGTGCGGATGCTGCGGCCGTTGACGCCGAGACCAAAACATATAGCATCCGCGATGTTGCTCTTCCCTGTACACCCCAAACCCTAAACCCTAAACCCTAAACCCTAAACCCTAAACCCTGGGGGTTTGTGCAAGGGTTTGATGGTCTGCAAGAGACCCTATAAACCTTATGTTCGATGTTTAGGGTTTAGGGTTTAAGGGGATTAGAGTTTTGCTTTGGTGGTTGCTG